CCGATTTCTCAAAAACGCATGTAAATTTATTACTAACTTGATTCCGTCATATTCGGAAACTTGCTAGCAAACGTTCGATCACTACTACCGAACCGAGTTATTTTAAACTTTTCACGTAATTCAAGACTAGAATGCTACTTAATTAGATGAAAATTAATCAAGGTTTTCTTTATAAAGTATTAATGTACCGCACTATTATACACATTTTGTTTACTGGTCATTTGGACAGACACACATACACGCACACAGACATACGGACAAGATTGCAAAACTATGTTTTTTCGACTCAGGGGGGGGGGGGGTGTAAAACGTCGAGATTTGTAAAAATCTCGATTTTTTTTTTTGCAAGATTACAAGACTTTCTCTATACTTCGTATATACGAGAAAGTTAAAATGAAAGTATTTAAAACTTGGCTTTAAAGATGTCGATATGCCGCCTGCACTGGAGTTCAACCCAATTCGTTTTATCTAATTATATTCGAGAATTTTAGGGGAGATCACTCCCGCTTTATTTATAAATAGAAGTCGTATTTTATGTTTCACAAAGAAAAACAAAATGTATGCTAAAAATGCACATAAACAAAAAAACATTTAATATTTTTTTATTGATTAAAAATTTTAAACCAATAGTTAGCGAATTAACTACGGTAATAATTATTGTAATTAATTTAAATAAAAAAAAATAAATAAAGTCTTATTTAAAAGTTAAACGTAGTTTAAAAAAAAAACAAAAAAAAAATACAACACAGTGCTTTCAGAAATAAACAATGTTACATATTAATTTAAAACGTCAACAAAAGCTAAAATAATTCACCCGAGGTAAACTAAATTAAAAAAGTATTAAAACTGCCTCAAGACAAAAAGATTATTACATATTTTACAACACGGACGATCGTTCTGCTTGACGCGTTGAGAGAGTGTGCAGACTTTCATGGTTCATCTATTCATCTGGAACATAAAGAGGAAAAAAAAAGCGTGAACAGTTTTAAAAAGTATAGTCTTGTAAACCCAATGTAAACAGTTTTAAAAAGTATAATCTTGTAAACCCAATGTAAACAGTTTTTAAAAAGTATAGTCTTGTAAACCCAATGTAAACAGTTTTTAAAAAGTATAGTCTTGTAAGCCCAATGTAAACAGTTTTAAAAAGTATAGTCTTGTAAACCCAATGTAAACATTTTTAAAAAGTATATTCTTGTAAACCCAATGTAAACAGTTTTAAAAAGTATAATCTTGTAAACCCAATGTAAACATTTTTAAAAAGTATAGTCTTGTAAACCCAATGTAAACAGTTTTAAAAAGTATAGTCTTGTAAACCCAATGTAAACAGTTTTAAAAAGTATAATCTTGTAAACCCAGTGTAAACAGTTTTAAAAAGTATAGTCTTGTAAACCCAATGTAAACAGTTTTAAAAAGTATAGTCTTGTAAACCCAATGTAAACAGTTTTAAAAAGTATAATCTTGTAAACCCAATGTAAACAGTTTTAAAAAGTATAGTCTTGTAAACCCAATGTAATCAGTTTTAAAAAGTATAATCTTGGAAACCCAATGTAAACATTTTTAAAAAGTATAATCTTGTAAACCCAATGTAAACAGTTTTAAAAAGTATAGTCTTGTAAACCCAATGTAAACAGTTTTTAAAAGTATAGTCTTGTAAACCCAATGTAAACAGTTTTAAAAAGTATAGTCTTGTAAACCCAATGTAAACAGTTTTAAAAAGTATAATCTTGTAAACCCAATGTACATCCGGGTTGCGAGCATCTGTGGGTTACACTAATCCGGTCGCGAAATTTATATAGAAAATATATACTTTTAACAGTGTCCGCCACCCCCCCATTTTAGTCCCCCCTCCACGACAATTTCAAGTTCTCCCTCGGAGAATCAACCGAGAGTGATCTCCCCTAAACGTTCACGTATATTCTTATATAAAACAATAGGGGATGGCAACTCGCGATAAAGACATGAATTTTAATCCATTTTAAATACTTACACTTTTTAAAATAGAATAAAATATCGAAGAAAAAAGAATTGCACACCAAGTCAACGCCAAATAAAATGTGCATAATAGTGCGGAACAGTGGCGTAGCAAGGTTGGGTGTCACCCGGCGGTGCGGCACCTGATGGTATATATATATATATATATATATATATATATATATATATATATATATATATATATATATATATATATATATATATATATATATATATATATATATATATATATATATATATATATATATATATATATATATATATACTAGCCGTCCCGGCCAGGCCCTGCTCTGGCTTCTGTGAAAAACCTTTCTGTTAAAGACCGTTACCTGTGTGTTTAGTAATCATCATAAACCCGGCATTGCCCACCCAAACCACAACCAACCAAAACAACAAAACGCAAACATAACGCTAACACAATTACAAATACAAACGAAAACAAAGAACCTAACAACAAACCCAACCACAATCACAAACACCAATACAAACACAAAGAAAAAACAAACAAAAAAGCAAACGAAAACAGAAACCTAAAAACAAACCCAACCACAACCACAAACACCAATACGAACACAAAGAAAAAAACAAACGAAAAAGCAAACGAAAACAAACCAAATCCAAACGCAAAATCAACCACCAACACAAACCCAAAGAAAAAAACACAAACGAAAAAGAAAAAGAAAACAAACCAAATCCAAACGCAAAATCAACCATCAACACAAACCCAAAGAAAAAAACACAAACGAAAAAGAAAAAGAAAACAAACCAAATCCAAACGCAAAACCAACCACAAACACAAATACAAACACAAACCCAAAGAAAAAACACAAACGAAAACGAAAAAAGAAAGAACAAAAACGAACCAAATCAAAACGCAATCACTAACGCAAACCCAACCTAGACACAAAGAAAACACTAACGCGAAAATAAACGCAAAGTGCTCACAGTCTAGCCCGGGGCAGAATCGCCTGTTTCAGCTTAATAATCGACTACAGTACCCCAACTTATTCATAGTCTTTTGCACTCACTTAAACGAACGAAGGTGCCAAACGAAACCAAATGAACAATTATAATACTCCAAGCTTTTTCGTAAAATACCTACAACATTTGCACTTGATTAATCCCTGCTAATTATGTAATTATTTTTTCCCAACACCAAAACAAAGTAAATTCTTTTCCACTAATGCAATGTTTTATAAAGGGAAGTAATTGTGTTTTCCTAATTTATTGAAGGGAAGTAAGTGCTAAAGGACTAAAGATAAATAATTTTCAGACATAATTAGAATTTTTGCTATTTTTTAAAAATTATGTTTAATGAACATGCCGACAATTATTACTATCAGTTTGAAAAATGAAAATTATTTCCCAACACTTTCAATAGTAATTTTTAGCTCATAAATTTAGACTATGAGCACGATAATAGTCTAACACTTAAATCCATCAAAGTATGTAAACGACAAACAAACATTATTTTTACATACAGAATTGAGCTTTATATATTAGATATATGTATATATATATATATATATATATATATTCCATATACACTTGTAAGTTTGTGTATACACATGTGTATATGTATTCAAATATTTGTTTTCTGCTGGATGTATTTCATTTTTACCCCCCACCCCACCCCACCCACCCACCCCCCACTCCATACATGGATTAACCTATTTCATTTTAAAAATGCAATGTAGGAAAAACTTTGTGCGAGATAACTCGTGATTTTATTTGTTTAATTGTTCACCGGTAGTGTTATAGGAGATGGCTTTTATTGTTACCCATTATAATACATTATTATAATAATTTGACGTGTAAGCCGCACATCTTGACATCTTTTATGACCTCACATTGACTACCAACATCATCTCAACCAAACCAACGCGTGCACTAACCGTAAAATGCTTTGGTTTCTTCCAACGACTCTTGTCGGATTTGTAGCAACGCAAAGATTGTCAGCAGCAGACAGAAGGCTAACAGAAGAAAACCGAAGAACATTGTGATGGTGGTTGCCGTGGTAACATCACCTACTTTTGCCATTTCTTCGTAATTAGCTATAATAGTACGATCTGCAATATATTATTTATATAGGCATATATACATATATATATATATATATATATATATATATATATATATATATATATATATATATATAGTATATATATATATATTTAACACATATATATATATATATATATATATATATATATATATATATATATATATATATATATATATATATATATATATATATATATATATATATATATATATGTGTGTGTTGGCCCCAACATTTAAATAGATTAGTATATGTAATTGAAAGAGTAGAGAAAATAAGGAATACGAAAACTGTATATGTGTATGTGTGTTCGCGTATGTGCGTGTTATTTGTTTGCGTGTGAGTGAAATAAGTGTGTGCATGTGTGTGTGTGTGTGATGGTGTGTGTATGTATGGGTGTGTTTGTTAACTGGGTTTTAAATAAATTAAATATTTTAAAAAATACTAGATCCTCGATTAGAAATCCGAAATACTTAACACATAAACAATATTTCTTTTTTTTCTTTTTACTTCTACGTTCTTAATTTTTAGTGTTGGAAGGGATCGAGCCTTATATGCCAGAGTGTTTGAACTGGAGACTTCTCCGAATTTATGAGCTTTTTCCGACTCCACTACGCCTCCATCACAATTAAGGATACGTGTCAACTGGTTATGTGCCGTTGAGGACATTGACTTCGATTTCAGCCTGCTTTTCTTTTTGTTTTTGCTTCCATAGCCTTTGTCCAACCAAGAACAAACTACAAAGTAGCAAATGTTTGATTTTTGAGTTATCTCTCCTAGAAGAGTGGCTGTCCCTAGCTAACGAGACTTATCTGCCCAAGGGTTTGAACTCGAGACTTTTCGGTTTAGCAACCATGTGCCTTACCGACTCGACCACGCCCCAGACATCTCTAATAAAAACTAAAAAAAAATAATCATCATTAAATGCTACATCATAAAAAAAACGCTAACCTCCGAAAACATCAACTTCACAAAGTTTCAAAGGCCCTTTCGTTGATTTAATTTTACAATGCTTGACTTTCTTGTTGATATTTAAATAGAAGACTCGTATGTCCTTGTAATTAACGCTTTGCTTGACCACCTCCTCTTCACTGAGACTGTAGCACGTCACCATCATGCTAAATGGTATGGGCGAATCTAAATAGTACAAGTAAGCCACATTATTCCTCAAAAGATGAAAAAAAATTTATCAAGGGGAAATTTATATTTCTTTAAATTAAATTTTAAGGTTTTCAAACGGATCGACTCCATTTAATTATTTTTTTATTCGTTATGTGAACGTGTTTCGATTTATTAACGCAGTTATAATAATTGTATAATTTAAAAAAAAAAAATTAAACATATTGTGCTTTACTTCATTCACCATAATTATTTCTTGCCGGGTCATAGGTCATAAGTCGTGAGTGTTGCAGACCGGACTACGATGTTGCCGTCCGGTTGCTTAGTCGCCGGCCGAATACGTTGCTGACACTGGCTCGGGCACTAGCCAATAAGGCCGTCGTTGTCTAGGGGTATTTAATTATTCTACCCGAGTCAGCTACAGTGAAGTAATCAACGGAACAGGAGACCTTCTTAGTTTATGCTGTTTATTAATGTGCTGAATGCCTGTTCTGCTGAGCGAGGCTTCCCCTAACCGCTAACGTCGGGAGCGCTTGTGCGAGAGAGAGAGAGACTAACTAACCTGCCTGTATTTATACCCCTGTCTTAACCCCCTAGCTGTTCCCACGGGACAATGAGCTCAGAACATGTGACCTAACAAATTATCCCCCCTGGCGCTAACAACCCTGGCTACTGGTCAGTATAAAGACTACTATTGTCCTGTCAGAGCGGTCAGTCTCATTGGAACGTGTCACCTACTGTCCATCCCTACTGTGTACCCTGTAATTATCTAGTGAATAGGTGTTTGTGGAATTCTGACCTAACAGACTCCCCCATACCCAGAGCAAATTGGGCTTTGCACTATTTGCCTAAAACTAGATACTAAACTACTATTTTAATTTTGCCTTCGCCCAGCAGATGATATATACATACAACTAAACTGTGTATACATACATTACAATATACATAATAATATATAATGCATATAAAAAAATATTTAAGAAAAACAAACAAAACAAGCAAAGCTTAAAACAGAATCTACAACAGCAGTTAGCACATTTGTTGGGAAAAAAAAAAAAAAAAAAAAAAAGAAATATGCAGTCTATATATATATATATATATATATATATATATATATATATATATATATATATATATATATATATATATATATGTTGCATAGCTCATGCACACACTCATTCACGCAAAATTAAACTTCTTTGGAGCCAAGTAAAACAATTATAAAATTTCACGTGTGCTTGCATACTTTTTGTTTCAATTGCTATTAGTGATAACACATAGCGAGTCTAGCACTCACGCTTTCAAAATCCACCCCCTAGTACTCATTCTCTCTATTCCCTTGATAGCATGTCCGCTACTATATTATCTTTTCCTGGTATATGCTCTATAGTAAACTTAAATTCTTGTAACAATAGAGACCATCGAGTTAATCTAGAGTTGCTGTAACTACAGTTATTTAAATACTTCAAAGCTCGTTGGTCCGTTTGGAGTGTAAAGTGTACGTTGTTTAAGTACAGTGCTAACTTCCCCACTGCCCAGATAATGGCCAAACATTCCCTCTCAATTGTTGAGTACCTCGTCTCTCGCGGTAGCAACTTCCTGCTGACATATTTGACGGGCCGCAGCACCCCCTCTTTAGCCTGCAGTAGCACTGCGCCTATGCCGCGTGCTGAGGCGTCCGTCCTGAGTATGAACGGTTGGGTAATATCGGGCAGGACAAGGAATGGCTCTGAGTTTAAGTGCTCCTGTATCAGCCCAAGAGCCCTGTTGCACTCATCTGTCCAAGCAACTCTCTCTGGTTTATCCCCCGCCAAAAGGTCAGTCAGCACCGCCTTAAGATTGCTGAAGTTGGGGATAAATTTGGAGTAATAGCTAATAAGGCCTACAAGTTGCCTCACTTGTCTCTTAGTTCTTGGGATGGCAATGTTTAGAATTTTATCTATTTTACTTCTCTGAGGTGCCATTACTCCACTTCCCACTATATGACCGAGGAACCTTACCTGTTCAAATCCGGGTGTGGGGAAATTGCGAGACGCGAAAAGCGAAATGGCGAGGCGGGAAAATGCGAGAGGGGCGCGAAAACGGTCGGTCACGTGACTTTTTTGTCTCGCATTTTACCACAAGCCGATACTTACGCTGGGTGGTGTTGAAATGCGAAGATTTCTGCGAAAAATTTACCGCACCCGATTTTCAGTGGTATTTGGTCCAGACTTCAAAGACGTTTCGTTTAAATCAGGGGTCTCCAAACTTTTCAGTCCGAGGGCCACATATCTATCAAATGTCAGTTCGGGGGCCAGTTTCTTCAAGGCATGTCTTTGATTTTGCTGGGCAAAGTTCCTCAGCCATCACCAACAAACTATTTTTCCTTGTACAAAAATATCTCCGCGGGCCGGATGAGAGGACTTCGCGGGCCGTAGTTTGGAGACCCCTGGTTTAAATTGTTAAAACTTCCGATTTTTCCGTCGCTAGACATACTGATGATTTGTCAACTCCCCCCATCTTTTGTGTCGAAACTCCCCCCATCTTTTGTGTCGACTTAGAATACCACCTTGTTCGAAACCGAAGGAAATACCGCAGACGATAGATCAACTTCCGTCTTTTGTGTGGAACGCCGAGGCCGCCTGATTTACCGTCTTTGAAGATCGCCGTGCCCGGATCCGCTGCCGCCGCAAACATATTTTCTATTGTTGCATAGAAATTTTGAATTATAGCCGCCGCCTACGATTTTTTTCTAGCTTTTTTTACTATATAAATCTAAGCACAAGGAAATGCCTACATCACTTGGATACAACAAAATAAAGTGACGTCACCGATATTATCAGTTGCTCGTGCTATATCGTAAGCTATGGGCCTACTTCAAATATTTTTAAAACCAAGCTGAACTTATCTGAATTTTTTGGTTTTGGTGGTGGTGTTATTTGGGGTCTTCCATAAATGACGTCACACTCGTAGGGGGGGGGGTCTGTAATTTTATGACGATGTGTGATGAGGGGGAGGAGGTGGGGGGTGTTAGATGTGAAGTCACACTATAAAAAAGCAACGTTTTAGAAAACTGTTTTAATACATTGTAATAGGAATTGATTAAAATACTCTATTTTGACCGAAAGTAGACAAGATTTTGGGAAAATATCGATGTTTTAAAAAAACTCAACTGCTGGTGACAACAATGAGCAAGACATTGCCAAAATTACAGAAATGATAAAAAATACAAATTACAAAAGACGGAAAACAGATGTTGAGCGTGCGGATGATGATAACATGGGTGCCAGTGTTGTTTGTGGGATGAACGAGGAGGTCAACTGTGATGAGAATGTGAAATGTTGTGAATGTGGATTGGAAGAAGTAGCAAAAGAAAAAATGTATAAATGGGAGTCTAATGAACTGGGTTGGGTGTACTATGTGTGAAAGATGGTGTCACGAGGTGTGTTTGAGGACTGTTTCAGAAGATTTTGTTTGTAAATTTTGTTTGTAATTAAAATTACTTAATTTAATAAAAAAATAAATTGGACTTTTTTAAATTGTTTATACTTTTACACTTTTTGCAAGTACAAAAATCCATAAATAAATGTTGCAAAATATCTCTCCTGCTGACAAGATTATACCAATTCACAATGACACAGCTCACGTTTGTATAAACATGAGCGGGCTAGATTTTTAAATTATTGCCGACTGAGACGGGATTTTCCTCTCGCTAACAAGAGCGGGCGATGACAGTAGCACAGCAACGATGTTAAGATTTTTAAATAGATAGATCTAGATATAGATCTATCTTCTTAGTATCTAGATAAAAAAATAACAACATACAACACTCGTGTTAAAGGGTTTGTTTATTTTAAAACAAAAAAAAAATAATTAAAATAAATAAAGATGGAAAAAAAAGGAAAAAACTTTTTTCGCAAAAAGTGTCTCGCTATTTACCCTTAATTCCGCAGGTATGTCTCGCATTACCTTCTCGCATTTTCCCGCCTCGCCATTTCGCTTTTCGCGTCTCGCAATTTCCCCACACCCTTCAAATCCTAGTTCAGTTAACCAGGCATCACAGCCTCTGTCTAACAGGACTTTCCTGAACTCATGGCACCAATATCTATGATCTAACCCTACCTCTCTAGCTTCTCTTTCAAAAATATCTATCACTACTTCCATGTCCATTGGACCACCGTTACTTTTTAAGCCAATCATCTTAAGACGTGGGACATATGATTTTGTTTGTTCCACTAATCGTTGGTTACCTAAACTTTGTTGCTCCAGTTCGAGGGTTTTTAATTTAACCATTTCTTCTGATTCTATTCTCAGTTTTTCTAAAGCTCTCTTAGCCTCTCGTTCGGCTAACTCTATCTTTAGTTTTGTTTCCTCTCTATGTTTTTCTTCTGCTTCTGCTAGTTTATTTTCAGCCCACTCTAATAGTTTACTCCCTTGGCAAATTTTATACTTCTGGCCCAATGCCAAGTAATAGCCAAACGACAGTTTATCTTCACCGCTCATTGTCACAGTCACGGTGGGCGTGTCGGGTAGTTTCTATTGGTCGAAATCAAAGACGAACAATGTCAAGTAGTGGTCAGTAAAAGTCCAGGCACGCAACTAAGCGGAAGGGTTAATTGCGGTCCGTGTAGCGTGACCAGCGGGGGTGTACGTCTGACACGTCTTATTCAAATGTACGACCTATTGTAACTACAGCGGTTAAGGTTACGCCCACTACAACGCTAGCAGGTAACAACTGTTTGTGACGCTTACGCCGAGACTGCCGTGTATGCTTTATGTTAACGAAAAATTCCCAACTAGCCTACCTAGAAACCCCAGTAATGGCAACTCAGGAAGTTTACTTAACCTCTACGACTATAGAGAATTTCACGCGGGTATATCTAACCCCAATGGTAGAAGAAAACCAGAGTAAGTTGCTTGCCGAGAGCACCGCACGAGGGCTGATACAAAAGGCACTTACCCCAGAGTGTGATTGTAGGTCAGGAGTGCTGGTCCAATATATCAGCAGGCTGCTGCACCTTCACACGCTCACACACAAAATACACTTGGCTTCTGGGTTGGTAGACTAAAGGACATCAACGATGAGTTCGGTGGACATCAGCGTAGTCTTCACACGGCTCACTTCGTGACTAGCTAGACTCTGGCCAAGGAACACTTCGTATGGGAACGTTGTTTACGGACGTCTGTTGCAGGAACAGCTTCTAACACGGATAGCGTCTTGCGGGAACGGTTGTTACGGGAGCTCGTTGCACAGCACAGTTTAGTTTACAGGAACATGCAATACAGGAACAGCTGGTACCAGAACAGTTTCGTACAGGATAGCTTGATACAAGGGTAGTAACAGTTCTTGCAGGAGCAGCTTCTTACTGGAACAGCTTCTTACAGGAACAGCTTCTTACAGGAACAGCTTCTTACAGGAACAGTTGAAATAGCGACAACTTGTGCAGGAAAAATATCATGCGGGAAGCTTCGATCTTGTGAGAGGCCCTTATGTCCAATAGGACGAGTTCCCAGATGTTGCAGACCGGACTACGATGTTGCCGTCCGGTTGCTTAGTCGCCAGCTGAATACGTTGCTGACACTGGCTCGGGCACTAGCCAATAAGGCCGTCGTTGTCTAGGGGTATTTAATTATTCTACCCGAGTCAGCTACAGTGAAGTAATCAACGGAACAGGAGACCTTCTTAGTTTATGCTGTTTATTAATGTGCTGAATGCCTGTTCTGCTGAGCGAGGCTTCCCCTAACAGCTAACGTCGGGAGCGCTTGTGCGAGAGAGAGAGAGACTAACTAACCTGCCTGTATTTATACCCCTGTCTTAACCCCCTAGCTGTTCCCACGGGACAATGAGCTCAGAACATGTGACCTAACAAATTATCCCCCCTGGCGCTAACAACCCTGGCTACTGGTCAGTATAAAGACTACTATTGTCCTGTCAGAGCGGTCAGTCTCATTGGAACGTGTCACCTACTGTCCATCCCTACTGTGTACCCTGTAATTATCTAGTGAATAGGTGTTTGTGGAATTCTGACCTAACAGTGAGCATAATTTTGACCAAAGAGACTTACAAGCCCTATTGATCCAGGGGTGATTTATCCCGTGGCTAAGACGGGGATAACGATCGAGATGGTGGTGGGGGTGGGGTCAGGGCAAAGGATGAATCATTGCTATTAAATTTTTATATTGAAATTTGGATGCATGCTTAGATTTGACTTTCAGTTCGGTTTTAATATTTGTGGACTTGTGATTCAATGAATGAGTACTGGTGGCGTTTAAAATAGTTGACAGAGAGTAGGTTGTGTCACATACTCTGTTACACATTCATTACTATTTTGTTTTAATAAATTTAACTTGAATCAACCTTAAGGTTTGCAATTTGAAATTTTGTGAATACTATAATTTTTTTTACATATGGTTTCGGTAATTAATTTTTGTGTGATCGAAATATTGATTTTACATCTATAACAAGGGTAATGGTATATTGGAAGCTTATTTAGCGTAATGCGTGTGAAAGTTTCAGACTTGCCATTGGTTGAATATGATCCCTTATAACAGTTTATGTTATTCTCAGATATATGATTTCATTTAAGTCAGTTGTTAAGCAGTCATAGAAAACAAATACAATGCATAACAATGACACCGACTAAAAAAAAAAACAACCAAAAAAATCATAAGAAAGTGTAGAGAACATTGCACAAACACAACATACTGCATATCAAGTATTTAAAAAAAGCCACTAGTACCCAATAAATGTTAAATAATATGAACAGGATCGCAATTTTTATTTATTAAAACCTAACCAAATATAAGATCATACGACTGAATATCAACCTGAATTTTAACTGAAATGTAAAATGTTCTACTCGGTATACGACGTCTTACAGACTGGGATCCGAATTATAGCGTCAGGTACTCGGTATACGACGTCCTACAGACTAGGATCCAAATTATAGCATCAGGTACTCGGTATAATCCGAATATATTTGTGTATGTGTGTATGTATGTGTGTTTGATAATGAACTGTATATTGAGTAACAAGCTCGCTTATAATGTTTTCATTACAGCGCTGATTTCAGCCAAGGAATTTATAAATAACATATTGATCGCATACACGACACGGTTCTCTAAAACACCGATGAAATAGCCTACCAATAGTTGTGATCACTATACGCTCCAACAGGTACGCTTCTTTGAACTGTATATTGAGTAACAAGCTCGCTTATAATGTTTTCATTACAGCGCTGATTTCAGCCAAGGAATTTATAAATAACATATTGATCGCATACACGACACGGTTCTCTAAAACACCGATGAAATAGCCTACCAATAGTTGTGATCACTATACGCTCCAACAGGTACGCTTCTTTGAACTGTATTGCCATCTCGTAATCTTCGGGTGCTTCGATACAGCTGTTGAAACGGTTCCCGTCCCTCAGCTTAGCTGCAAGTTCTGGGTGATTCTCCGGCGGCTCTCCGACAAAGTACACTGTATTTTGATCAGTGGTATCTTTCTCAATATTGAATTCGCTGTCGGGGTTGGGCATAAACACAGCCGGCCCACCTCGTAAGTTTCTACCTAAAATGAAACGGTCATATGGAAATCAAGGATGCAAAACCTTGAAGTTTGATTGAAGAACTAAGTAGTCAAAACTAGTTTTTAAAAGAATAAGTGCACCGAAATTATGCATTAGTAAGACGTATTTTAGTAACAGTTTCTTTTTAAAAATTGGTAAAGGTTTGTAAGAAGAAACTGCTAAAACAAGTATATTCATTCTCAGGTCATGGGCAATAGGGATCGTATGCAGGGAGTGAAGGGGCTTTCCTAAGCCCGGGCAATGCAGGGTACTTGCTGCTTAATAAACACACACGTCATGGTCTTTTACAGTAAGATATATATATATATATATATATATATATATATATATATATATATATATATATATATATAAAATGGCTTTCTTCTACAGAGAGGATGGCACCAAGACAAGCGTATATGTGAAATGAAGTTACTCCGGTTTTTCAGCTGTTTACCCTTATGTCTTCCACTATTCGATTTGGGCTGCATGTCATGATCTTCGTCTTAGATGGAAGATTTGCATTAGGTCGATAAGTTGTTTTCATGTATTGTGCTAACGGGTTCCAGGCCTGTGACAACTTTGATTCACATGTCATAAAAACACTACATTACTTACCACCGTCCTGAGCCGCATGCCACACACACACTACATTACTTACCACTGCTCTGAGCCGCATGCCACACACACACTATATTACTTACCACCGTCCCTAGCCGCATGCCACATACACACTACATTACTTACCACCGTCCTGAGCCGCATGCCACATACACACTGCGTTACTCACCACCGTCCTGAGCCGCATGCCACATACACACTACATTACTTACCACTGCTCTGAGCCGCATGCCACATACACACTACATTACTTACCACCGTCCCTAGCCGCATGCCACATACACACTACATTACTTACCACTGCTCTGAGCCGCATGCCACATACACACTACATTACTTACCACCGTCCCTAGCCGCATGCCACATACACACTACATTACTTACCACTGCTCTGAGCCGCATGCCACATACACACTACATTACTTACCACCGTCCCTAGCCGCATGCCACATACACACTACATTACTTACCACCGTCCTGAGCCGCATGCCACATACACACTACATTACTTACCACCGTCCCTAGCCGCATGCCACATACACACTACATTACTTACCACCGTCCCTAGCCGCATGCCACATACACACTACATTACTTACCACCGTCCCTAGCCGCATGCCACATACACACTACATTACTTACCACCGTCCCTAGCCGCATGCCACATACACACTACATTACTTACCACCGTCCTGAGCCGCATGCCACATACACACTACATTACTTACCACCGTCCCTAGCCGCATGCCACATACACACTACATTACTTACCACCGTCCCTAGCCGCATGCCACATACACACTACATTACTCACCACCGTCCTGGGCCGCATGCCACATACACACTAAATTACTCACCACCGCTAAGATGGAACTCGCATGCCATCCCGGGATAATCCACTTTAATTTCCATTTTCATGATCACCACAGGTTCCGGCCAACAAACATCCACACAATTGGGTTCTCTAAACGCCGTAGCTAACGGTTGTTCTAGCAGCTCATACAGTTTTTGGTCCGGGTTCCAGATCTTAATTAAAACCAGTTCAGGCGTGATTTGATCTACACACAAAAAATATGATCGATCATTTTTTTTTTCTTACAATACTTGTTTTGTTTTTATTCAGTATCTAAAATTTTAGAAAATTCTGTTAATGAGGCTTAGGCAGAGATTGTATCTGCATCTGCATCTGCATCTGCATCTGCATCTGCATCTGCATCTGCATCTGCATCTGCATCTGCATCTGCATCTGCATCTGCATCTGTATCTGTATCTGTATCTGTATCTGTATCTGTATCTGTATCTGTATCTGTATCTGTATCTGTATCTGTATCTGTATCTGTATCTGTATCTGTATCTGTATCTGTATCTGTATCTGTATCTGTATCTGTATCTGTATCTGTATCTGTATCTGTATCTGTATCTGTATCTGTATCTGTATCTGTATCTGTATCTGTATCTGTATCTGTATCTGTATCTGTATCTGTATCTGTATCTGTATCTGTATCTGTATCTGTATCTGTATCTGTATCTGTATCTGTATCTGTATCTGTATCTGTATCTGTATCTGTATCTGTATCTGTATCTGTATCTGTATCTGTATCTGTATCTGTATCTGTATCTGTATCTGTATCTGTATCTGTATCTGTATCTGTATCTGTATCTGTATCTGTATCTGTATCTGTATCTGTATCTGTATCTGTATCTGTATCTGTATCTGTATCTGTATCTGTATCTGTATCTGTATCTGTATCTGTATCTGTATCTGTATCCGTATCTGTATCTGTATCTGTGACTTTGACTGTAATTGTGACTGTGATTGTGATTGTGATTGTGACTGTGACTGTGACTGTGACTGTGACTGTGACTGTGACGTTGACGGTGACGGTGACTGTGACTGTGACTGTGACTGACGGTGACTGTGACTGTGATTGTGATTTTGACTTTGACTGTGACTTTGACTTTGACTGTGACTGTGTCTTAGTTGTCTGCATTTGTGTATGTGTCTATACGTATGTGTGAGTAAATCTAATATATAAAGCTTAATTCTGTATGTAAAAATACATATGTTTGTCGTTGACATACTTAGATGGATTTAAGTGTTAGATAATTAAAGTCCTTATGGTCTAAAATTATGAGTTAAAAAATTAATATTGAAAGTTTTGGGAAATAATTTTCATTTATCAAACTGAAAGTAATAATTTTCGGCATGTTCATTAAACACAAGTTTTAAAAAAAATATCATCTTTTACAAAAATTCTAATTATGTCTCTATTAAGTCCTATAGCACTTACTTCCCTTTGATAAATTAGGAAAATACAATTACTTCCCTTTATAAAACCATTGCATTAGTGGAAAAGAATTTACTTTTTATTACTTTGTTTTGGTGTTGGGAAAAAAAAATAATTACATAATTAGCGGAGATTGGTCAAGTGCAAATGTTGTAGGTATTTTACGGAAAAGCTTTGAGTATTATAATTGTTCATTAAATTGAAACAGGCGCGTTCGTTTAAGTGAGTGCAAAAGACTATGAATAAATTGGGGTACTATAGTCGTTCATTAAGCTAAAACAGGTGATTCTGCCCCGGGCGTTTATGTTCGCGTTAGTGTTTTCTTTGTGTTTAGGTGGGTTTGCGTTAGTGGTTGCGTTTTGATTTGGTTCGTTTTTGTTCTTTCTTTTTTCGTTTTTGTTTGTGTTTTTTCTTTGGGTTTGTATTTGTGTTTTTGGTTGGTTTTGCGTTTGGATTTGGTTTGTTTTCGTTTGCTTTTTCGTTGTTTTTTTGTGTTGGTATTGGTGTTTGTGGTTGTGGTTGGGTTTGTTGTTAGGTTTTTGTTTTGGTTTGCTTTTTTGTTTGTTTTTTCTTTGTGTTTGTATTGGTGTTTGTGGTTGTGGTTGGGTTTTTTGTTAGGTTTTTGTTTTCGTTTGTTTTTGTAATTGTGTTATGTTTGCGTTTTGTTGTTTAGGTTTTGGTTGGTTGTGGTTTGGGTGGGCAATGCCGGGTTTATGATGATTACTAAACACACAGGTAATGGTCTTTAACAGAAAGGTTTTTCACAGAAGCCAGAGCAGGGCCTGGCCGCGACGGCTAGTAAGTATATAAATGTATATGTACCTGTTGTTTGTAAATTTGCAAGTACAAGAGTTAGTACAAATGCTAACGAACGCACAAACACGAAGCGCATGTGGTGGTGTAATTGTCTGTTTATGCACTTTTGCATATGTGTTGATTGTGTTGAAAAAAACAAAACGCCGACATGGAAATGATGTAGAAATAAGTGTTTTTCAGTTTCCATGTTATTAGTAGCTGAAAAACATCACGTCTAACATCGCTAGATTAGATTGATAGAATAAGCCAGTTCAGCACTTTGCCCGTTGTTTTGTATACGTGATTCTTCTGAAACTCCATTGAATATATGTTACGAGCCGGCCCGCGGCATAACATACGCCGCTATTTAGTTGTTTCTAATTTTCAATAATTCATAATTTGTGAATTCGACAGTACCAACGCTGACACTGAAAATATTTCTTTAAAACACTATAAGTAGCTCGTTAAGGACCATAACCCCCCCCCCCCTTCCTTCCCTCCCCCCTCCTTCCCCCCCCCCCCCCCCTACGTTTAAAATCGTTGGCTCTGCTTGTAAACATTTAGAGTGAACACAGCTCACTAAAACCATGTAGGGGTGGGGAGGTAGGGAGAGCGTTTGCAGCTTGTTTTCTAACGGCTCGAAGAAGAGAATTATATATATAGATACGTGTCAACAAATGCAGAATTCTCTAGACCGACGGGCTATTCTATTCGCCCACAACATGTACATCGATACCAAAAAGTATCCGTAAAGAATAACCTTCATGTATACTGACCTGGCTTCATTCGGACTTAAAAAAGACATCGGTTTACGGTTGTGGTTTCAGACATGGTTAGACATGTAGTTACAAGCTGACCCCCCCCCCCCCCCCACCCCCCCTCTCCACTTCCTCGTCAAGTGCGCATCACCAAAAAAGACACAAGTCTCACTTTCGAGCAGCAGTGTTTAAATATATATTTTAAAGTAACGCCTCGACCCTCACCCCCACCCCCCGCCATGTTCCAACAAGAGAAATATAATGTAAATATATTTACAAATATCCTTCACTTCCAGCGTAAATGATTTAGACAGCTGAGGTTCCGTAAGTTCCAGCCCCATGGTCGTAGCGGTCATGGACACGCATGTTGCATTGTCGGCGTCCGCTAAGTCATAGGGAAAAAAGGTGCTTCCGGTCATAAGTAGGTCCGCTAGTAGAATAAACAAAGCCCTTTCACATTTTTTTTTCAACATCAATGTCAAACTCGTTTGAAAAAGTAATTTATGAATAGATGATTTGTTTTAGATAAAAGCTTTTGTATAAAGGTCTAAAAAGTAATTTAAATCATACCAATATTGTGTAATTTAATCTAAATATATATAGGTATTTTTTTAGTTTCAGGCAGTGGTGGTGGAGGAAGGGGGGGGGGGGGTCACGCTTTTGTTGCTTTGAATTTTTATTATTGGGAACATCTTGATATCACAATCTTATATTCTTAACGTTAGTAAACAGTACGTTCAGTGTATAAGATAACACAAACACACACACACACACACACACACACACACACATATATATATATATATATATATATATATATATATATATATATATATATATATATATATATATATATATATATATTCTGCAGGTTCACGTCATGGTGTCACCCCCGTCCCCATTGTCAGAATATTTACTTTACACTTAAAAGACTTCTTAACTCCAAATAATCAGTAATTGAACTGGAAAATCATTTTTCTTGTAGTCTATATATTATGCAAATTTTCGTCTTAGTGTCCTAGCCCTAAATGGTGTCACCAGGTGCGTTCCGCACCCCCCGCCTCACGACGCCTCTGGTTAGTTTAATTTGTTCAAGCCATGCAGGTGTATTTCATATTTTCTTCACGTTCAATTATTAATGTATGCAAAAAGAGTGAAATTTTTTCGAGTGCCAAACAATTTAGATCGTTATTATCAATAAACCCTACTCCACTAATTATAATCAGACAATTCGATGCAATTAAAATTACGGCATGTGATGGCGATTATTGTTTTAAATAAACCGGGTCTGATCTCCCCTAAATTTACTCGAATATTCTTATATTACACTCGGCAACTCGGGATAGAGACATGATTTTTAATCCATTTTTAATTTCTTAAACTTTTAAAAATTGAATAGTATCCCGTAGAAAAAAAATTGCGAACCAATTGAACGGCAAACGATTTGATTATAAAACTGCGGAATATTATTAGTAATTTATAAATTCATATGCGTTTTTTGAGAAACCAGAAATAGCTTATAGTACTACTTCCGGTCAACGGAAATGACAACAAAACTATATGTTTATACTTATCAGACTTACCTTTAATGCAGCCTGGGCCAAAAGATCCCCGGTAACATTCTGTTGTGTAGCCTGTGCCATCGTTCCGACATTTAAATTCTGGAGCAGTGCACTTCTTACTGCACTTGGGGCCGTAATAGAACATGGGGCAAACTGAATAAAGCACATTATATATTTGATAAAACAAATATCACATGGATTAAAACATTTCGTTTTTGAGGGATGGAAAAAACATACTGAATCAAGTAGATTTCTCACCTTGGATGAAAACAACAAAAACAAAATAAAAAAAATGTTTAAAAGGTGAAAAAATATGCAAGAAAATAACCATAGTTTAATTCCGGCTCTTTTTATTTAGTCGTAAAAAAACTCAATAGCGCCTTCGATTATCGTACAAAAACTTGTTGTAAAATATATTTAACATATTCTTACTGTAATCGTCAATGGTAAAGTTTGCGTACGCTGGGCGGGTAGTCGGGTCTGTTGTTGTCGCTTCTGTTGTTGTTTCTGTTGTTGTTTCTGTTGTTTTTATTTCTGTTGCTGTACTTGTTGCTGTTGTTGCATTTGTAGTGATCGTGGTTTGTGCTGTCGTAATAATGTCCTCCTCCTCAGTAGGTGTATGGAAACC